AAAATGAAAGATTTTATACAAAAAAAGTGGTATAAAATATTAATTTATAAATGCAGAAAATGATAGAAACGGACTATAGTTTCCCTTTAAATGAACACTACATAAAAGTGAAAACTCAGTTTAGGAGAAAGCACTCTAAAGAAAGGGCCCCTGCTTTTAGGAAGTTGAGGCCAGGCCTTGGCAGCCCGCATCCATCTGTAGTTGGCAGGTTTTTGATAGACAATCTACACTGAATTACAGCAGAAAGTAAAGAAGTCTTTATACACTGCCTGACAAAAGAAAAAAAGTCCCACACGCAAATATTTAGTTGGACTGCCTTCAGATTTGAATGCGGCACGTATTTGCCATGACATTGTTTTGATAAGCTTATGCAATGTCACAACATTTATTTCCATCCAGAGTTGCATTAATATTTCACCAAGATCTTGTAGTGATGATGGGAGAGTCAGAGCACTGTGTAAAGTCTTCTCCAGCAAATCCCAAAGATTCTCAAAGGGGTTAAGGTCTGGACTCTGTGGTGGCCAATCCATGTGTGCAATGATGTCTCCCTGAACCACATTTCACAATTTAAGCCCATTTAATCCTGGCATTGTCATCTTGGAATATACCCATGAGGGAAGAAAAAAAACCTGCATATTCAGTATATTCAGGTAGGCAGCTGACCTTTTTTTTGGGGGGGGCGGGCTCTGACCTATTTGCTAAATTCAGGTGGTGACTTTTTGGCCAAGCAGTGTATATGCAATCCCTCAACCCAGAATTTTTTTTAACCAAAATTAGAGTGAACCTTCCACATGTCTAGTGCTTTGACAACAGGAAGCCAAGTGCAGAACATAAGAGTTTTACTCAGATTGCTTTACCTAAAACTGACTTTTCATCTCCGAGTTTGCAACAAAAACTAGGTGGATTCTTGGATAAAAGCAGCTAGAGCATAATACATTGTCATCAGAACAAACAGGAAATACCAGTAAGTGGTAGTTGAAAGAACATAGGTTAGTTATCAGTGCCAGCTCAAAAAGCAAGATGTGAGCACTCAACCAGACCCTCTACCAAGAAAATCTACGTACTAAGTGATGGGAGCTCAGCCTAGACAGGCCCATTTCATTGACACATGAAACACTCAACTACAACTTGAAAGATAAATTTAATGTTCCCAAACACTATTTAGTGGTAACTAGGCCCAAAACCGCTACCGTAGTAAAGCTTACATTGCACTATGATGATATTTATGGTCATCTGCTACTTTACCAAACTTAAACTTCACTGTATGATGGTGCTAGATTTCAAGTCAAACCCTACCATCAGCATTTTATCTGCAATGTCTAATGACGGACGACTTATTCGTTTACTTCCTATGAAGAAATATTTATTAGGCATATGAATGGTAACTATTTGGAAGAGGCAATTTGGAACTCAAATATGTAGAAGCAATAGACTCCATAGTAACATCAGTGTATAAGAAGTTAGTGCTTCTATCCAACTGGATAGTTTGTTAGTGTACAATTGGTAAAACACTAAAAGGAGATGTGTGGGAGAAGAAGTGAAATCTTCCAATAGAGGCACCTGTGTTGTAATAATGATTCTGGTTGCGTCTCAAGGACAGTAAGTACAGTGAGAAAAAATTAAGAAAATGAACCCACATATGTTTAAATCAGCCTGTACTCTAGGTATGGAATTATAAGGAGTGGTGTAAAGCTGTTAATATA